TGGGGCCTTTTTTGCAAAAAAAAAAACGGAAGTCTTTATGTTAATAATGATAAATTTTGTTTTTGACTGAAAACCTATGCCTCCTTGGCATGTGTTCAGACTCGGCCCTGCTAAAATGTATAATTAGATTCTTCTTACCAAAGTTGATTTTATAATGACGTTATGGATATGTAACCTTGCTACAGTTACACTCCTCCATCATATCCTATGAAATTAATCTAAAACAATTTAAATATCTCTTTCTGCTTTTTCTTGTATATGAATAAAACTCTAAATGAGATATGTCGTTTTGTATATAATAAAGCTCATTTGAGCTTGAATCCCTCTCGGTTTGGATTTGCTAGCAAAATAATGTTTAGGTGCATATAAAAACACGAGTATTAGCTAGCCAACAAAGTAAAAAAAAAATGATACGGGTAATAATATGAATAGGCATCGCATCATACTGGTGTTGAACTAATTAATGATGATGTTGATGTCATGTGAATAGGATTCATCTCGCACATCATCTACTAAAATTGTTGGAAGCAACCAACTTAATTCGTGAAAGTTGCTACTGTGTGTGATGTTATTTACTGAAATGTACCTTGTTTTTAAAAGCAAAATTTCATTCCATATTGAAGATTGTTTTTACCTCAAACACGTACCTTGTTTTATTAAACGTACGAAAACGGAAATGCCTCATAGAGCAATCAGATTGGCACGTTAATGCCTACTTTGGGACAAAAACAAATAAAGATTTGGAAATCAGCGCGCGAATTACAAATGCGTTTTCATTTTTTATAGTAAACATGTCTCATGTGAGTTTGAATTTAGGTGATGACACGTCACAACACTATATATCACAAACGATTGTGATATATTTATCGTAGTTCTACGCAAGATCTTGTGGTTACTTTTGATGCATAGATATATAATTGCCATATGTATATTATTTCAGAGATTTGGAGCTACTGTATGAAATTCTTCGTGAACAAAAAGTGTAGCCGATGGAAAATCAATTTTTGTGTTCGACCAACTTTGTAACGAATTAAAATCAACCTAATGTCGAAAGGGTTATATTTCAATTTTCCGGTACTATGTGATCCACTACTTGGGTTCGGATACTTGGGCTTTGTTTGTCTCTAATTTCTATGGATTGTGTGTATATATCCCGGTGAGATGTTTTCAATTCTTTATCTTTCTTCTTCTTTTTTCCGTGGGCAACATTTCAAATAAACATGATAATTGATCTGTTACTACAAGATTGTACACTATATTAGATATAGTTTATGCATAGATAGTAAGTTCATTCATACTAAATGACATAGAAAAATGCGACCATATTATTTCAAAAAAAAAAAAAAAATGCGACCATATACGTATGACTCCATTATTTTTGCGAATTGATTAATTGAACTAATCATAAAAGCTAAATTATTAAGTTGACTATAATTAAAAATGATCGTTCCTTGATATTAGATTATAAGTTGAGAGTTTGAGACCAAGAGTTTTTTCTCTTTCTCGTCTCTCTCAAAAAAATATAGCCGTCTATTGTGCTTTTAGCGGTCTTGATTTGTGGAGTTTTGTATTTGGAAATTTTTTTTTCCGGGTTTTGAGTTTCTTCTTCGTAATCTATCATTATTTAAAAAAAAAAAAAATTCTTATTCTTTTTTGTTTTTTCAGTCCAAACGTCCATTTTCTTGGATTTCAATGTGTTAACCGAATTATTCAAATAACTTATTTCCGGGTGGAAGATATCCAAGATTATTATTATATATCTTCTCAAAAGAAAATGTGCTGTTCTCTTATGAACAAAGTTCAACGGTTTTCAGCTGTGGTACTACTAATACCGGTTTGTCTAAGATTTTTCGAAAAAAGAGTTTCATCGTAGAAGACGTAGTTCGTGAAACCATTCAAGAATTCTTGTTCTTTCAATCTCATGAGTTGACTTAGCTTGTCATATTAAGCTTACATATTTTGAGTCACATCAAGCACAAAAACCAGAGCAATAAAGAGTGAAAGCTGATGATAAATGAAAAACATGCCATAAAGCAAACTGAAAACCTAGCTTCAAGAGCAGAGTTTAGACTGAAATAAAAGGCAATAAAGCAAAAACCTAAACCGAAGCAACAAAACATCCTGAGACAATAAAAGTAGAACAACAAACACATCCACTCAATTTGAAAAATACGCGAAAGATTGGTAAAGGCATATATGGCTCAATACGCAACATATGCATGTTGATATATTTTTTTCTTTTTGAAAAATGCATGTTGATATTTTTGTAACGTATAACCAATAAACATAGAAAATGAAACTTCGAGTTAAATTAATTGGTAATTGGAGACTTTCAATACACATAAAATAGGAATTTGTGTATGTGTTGTGTGTATCTTACATTTATTTATCGCTTGTGATTCCTTAACTCGAACTCTTCAAGCTTCCAATTTTTGTTTTGTTTA